AATAACAGGAATATATACTGTAGTTTAATTTAATCTACAACTTTTATTTCAATTCAGTGTTGACGCTTTGTAAGCATGCTTTTCAAGATTTGAATACAAATCTCATTTTGAAAATAATGACAGTAATTATTCTAATTTGTATTGTTCTAACAGAGTTCTGCTCTATTTCTACAATTGGAATAATTTCATTATTATAGTACACCAGACTATTTGCATAATTAAAAACATGAATGAAAATTAAGAAGATGCTTCACTGTTTTCTTAACAGACTAAGATCAACCAAACTATTGAGTAATACTAATTTTATAGAAAATTCTAGTAAGCCACTCCAGTGCATTTTTCCAACTCTCGACCGATGTCTTTCAGATATAATTTGATAACTGTGCCCATAGCTGGTTTCTACCACTCAGTTACGTGGTGTTCAGAATTACTGCCTACAACTTGGCTGCAAAGTCACTGCAAGCCTGTGCTATTTTGAATACACACAAGAGAACAAGATGACCAATTCTTCTGGCCATCGTGCCACAAACTGGTCATTAAAGCATAAGGTGTGTATGTTCAATACAAACCAACAACAAGTATTACATATAGACATACCTGGGGTACAGAATAACCTACCAATATTAGTTTGCTCTCGAAAACAAAACTAAAAAAAAGTAGTTAAAAAGATAACAGTGTTTTAAGACACAACAGACATCACCTATTTTTTTCGAAGATGAATGAAATTAAGACAACCATATCTCTTTGTTAGATGCATATTTCAAGGCACTTGACAAAACAGAAATCTAAAGAAATCCCTAGGAAATTATATTGAACTATTTGTGCTCCTGAAGGAAAAAGTCTGATTTTAAAATTCTTTTTATATACACAATAGGATTACATGATACCAAAAGAAATAGGACAAAACCAAAAGTCCTCAGCTATTTAACAGTTTTTTGTTTGTGTAAGTGAAATAAAGGACACTCTTGTAATGAGTAAGCAATGGTAAAATTTACTCGTCAAAATATATATTGTACTTTTCATATATTATAGCAAATGCTTTGTTGGGACTGGGGAGTTGTGAGCTGCGGAATAGTTAACTGCTGTGTTACTATTATAAGTTGACTATCCTGCAACTGGCAGTTCCCTAGTTGGCAAGATAAAGTATTCTGCTTTGCTGAGCATGTATACTATATCCTGTTTTTCTAAAAATATTGTCTAAGTGTACTCACTAAAAAAGGGAAGAAGAGAACAAGGATCAGGGGGTCAAAGACAAAGATGATAATTCTCATGGCTAGGCTTCACGAACGAAGATTTGGGATGATAAAGAAGAGCCAAAAAGAACATCTGGATACCATTCCCATACCCAGCTCCAAGGACATCAGAGCTAATTAAAACTACTGATAGGAAGTACCTGGCAATTAAAATGGGCCTACAACAGAACCAACCAGAATGAAGCCCGCGAACTCAAGCCCAAAGAAGAGCTAACAAGTGACTATGGGAGGGGAGTTGAAAAAGTATAAAAGTTACTGTTTGTCTCTATTGAGCTTGTGGGCCGTTGGAAGAGCAGGGGTCTCTCCAGGCCGCCCAGCGTGCTGATTGGCTTATTTGCACTTTATATAAATCTTATAATAAAAATTGCTGCTATGTTTTGATTTGGTTTATTTACCTATAACACTCTCAAGACCTTGTTTCTCCAGTTTGTTGTACAGTTATTGTGTTAATCCACTTTGTTTGTCTTCAGAAGAAATACAAGTAATTGTTATCCTCACATGATTCACTGAGCATTAGGGCAAGTTATTTTTGGTTAACTTGGTGTAAACTGCTTCTTGTACAGAAGAACTCAATAGTCTGACTTGTTTGTGTATTTAGCAGTAGAGCACACAGTGCCATAAGCTTATCACGTCTGTACCTTTTCCATGACAATTCAACAACACCAACAAAAACAAACAAACAAAAAAAAACCAAACAAACAAAAAACTACACCTGTCTGTTTTATTTGACCCAAAGCAAGAAAAAGTCTCTCTTCCTGACACTAGTTAGGAAACAAGAAGGGCAGGCATCTGCTAATCAAATCTTGTCTCCTCTATCACACCTAAGTGCCTCACAGCTTGCAGACAAAATTTGAGTATTTTATTTTTGGTTAACTTCTGTAGATGGAGAAAGTGTGATTTGATTTTCAAAATAGTTCTTAATTCTTTTAAATAGGTTACATAACAATGATGTTATAATAAGTAGGTGAAAAAAGTCACTCAACCATTCCATCTTCTTTAAACACTCAGTATCTGTGGAAGATGAAGCATTTCTAAATTCAAAGCACTACTATTTACATCTCTGTTTTAAATGCTAATTAGTACCCTGGTTCCAGCATCTGCATCCATGGACTCTCACTTCAGTAGGACGCTTACAGTAACTTTGCCTGCACTTGTACTCTACTGTGTTTTACTGTCAGCCACCACCATCTCCCACGAGTTTCCCTCACAACTACTCAGCCTTACACTGCAGTTCATCTTTTAGGCTGCCCTTTATCCTTCATTATCTGGTATCTTAACTAATAAATTGGATATTGCATCCCTTCTCAACAGGAGTGGAGACTCCTGTTGAATCTAAGCCAAGGAACACCAGTATTTTGAAAAACAGCAAGCTCCAAAGTTTGTTGGCAGTTGTGGTCTAGCTACATGGTTACACTGACAAAGTCCACAGGCATATTAAAGGAAGAAATATAATATTAAAATAAAATAAACCACTAAGACAAGCCACAAAACAAGCAGCACCATCCCTTACTTCACAACTACACTCACAGGTCAAGAATGGTCCCCGCACTCAGTAACTCCTAAACAGCACAAGACAGTGATTTATCGCAAACAGGAAGACAACACCTGTTCCAAAGGGCACTTCCTCAGGGTGCCCATTTTTCCATATAACCATTACAAAGCACACACATGCAGAAGCCAGAGCTAACAGTTGCTCGTTTTTTCTGTTAAGTTCTCCCTGTCACCAAAAGATTCTTTTGCTAGTGGACAGGCAACTCAACTCCAGACTGGCAACTCTCAAGCCAAGACTTAGAGGTTTTACATGTATTTTTTTTTAAACATAAAACACCAATTGATATTTACTAATGTAAACACGAGAGCACTCCAGTCAGCTGAAAACAACCAAAGTGCACAAAACCAAAACTAATGGAAGGGTAAATATCCATCTACTATAATTCTGACTTGGCTCAGCTTTAGAAGAGCAACCTCTCCTTGCATGTGAAAGGCTTTCTTGGATCACATAGATAAGGTATTCTGATAAACTGCTTTCCACTAAGAGGAAGTCCTGTGCAAAACAAATGTAGTTAAACAACATCAAGGGATATTGTTCCATTTCTGAGTAAATGCACAGTCAGAGTCTGTCTGCTCTCTTCAATAAAACTTGTACTTGACCACCGTATCAGAAGTTATATAGACTGTCTGAGATGTATCAAATAATCAGCAGCAATGTCTGTTTTTTCAGTCTTACTCCTTCAGTAACAATGTGATTATGCAGTCAGCAACCATTTCAGTTGTTTATTAGGAATCCAAATGGGATCAGCACACATCTACTGTACAAGCCAAAGGAAACAAATAAACTAAACAAGCAAGTTTTTCACATTTCCATGAAGACCCCAAGCTTCTGCCCAAAAAAAGGACGAACACACTATGAAACTATTAACACACACAGCTTGTGAGAATCAGTAGCAGCTTTCTCAGTCCTTTAAAAAACCAGGCCCAGTTGAAAAAAAAACTGTTTTTTTTTATTTCCAGTTTCTTCTGTGATATTCCATATCACCTTAGCCAAGGGCTCTAATGAAAAAGTTAAGTCTACAGAGAGAGTCTACACTGAGATTTCAGTGTAAAATAAGTACAAGTAAAGAAAGTTAATATATAGGAAAACACAACATAACTTCAACATTTAATTTGAATGTTATTTACTCACTTAAAAAAAAAAAAGTAATTTCAGAAGTCTTGCCTGTAAATACACAGGTTCAACTAGAGCAAACATTTTTACAAATGAATATATTTTGGTGGAAATTGTTGTGCACAGAGAAACACATCTGTAAAACAGGCAAAAAGAAAAGGAAAAAAAAAAAGACAAAAACCAAAACAAAAGACAATTATTTTATTTCTAGGAATTAAGTATTGACACTGCTCTGATGCTGCATGCAAAACACCTAACTCACCAGTTATCTCTGTCGCATCCGAAGCCGGGGTATCTGGCCTGTTGCTGTCTTCTGCAGCTTCATCCTCCTCCCCTGCAGCGGCACCACCCGCGACAGCAGCATCAGATGCCTCCCCTGGGGCTGCTGGAGGGGACAGCGACTCCCGATCCGCGTCCTTCCTCTTCTCAAAGCGAAATCGGTCCAGGTTGTAGAGACTCATATTCTTAACCTACCCCTCCTGTCCGCAGGAGAGGAGACGGGCTCGGCCGGGCAGCCTCTGTGGGAAAACCCAGAGAGAGAGTCGGCAGGGCCCATCAGACACGCACCAGGAAAAAGCCGGCGAGGGGACCGGCCGGAGGATCCGGCCCTCCCACCGAAACGCGAGGCCCTCGGCGCTGTCAGGCAGCGGGGAGGCATCTGCTCACCCACCCACCCACCGCCCTCCCTCCTCCCCTCACGGAGCCCGGGCACCGCCGGCGGGCCCTGCACGCACCTGTCGCGCACCGCGGCCGACTCGGCGGGGCGCTGGGAGGTAGAGGCGGCGGGCGGCGGAGGCTCGGCCGTCCCCGGGGCAGGTGTTGCCCGGCCGGCGGGAGTGCGGGAAGGGCGGGAGTGCGGGCAGGCCGGCAGCGCGGGCCGGGCTGGAACACTGCGCGCTCCCCTCAAGAGCGGGGCGCGGGCATGCCGGCGCGCGGCGATGACGTCACCGCTCCCACCCCGCCAATCGCCTCGCGCGGACGGGGCGCGCGAGCGCGGGCGCCTTCGCGCGTTTTCCCTCGAGAGCGGCGCGAGCCGCTGCCCTCAGGGGTGGGGGCGGGAGCGCGAGCTGGCGCCGTTTGCGGGGTTTGGGTTTCCCGCAGCCTCGCGGGGCTTCGCCGCTGCGACCGTGACAAACCGGATTTGTACCTTCCAGCCCCCGGCACCGCACGAGTGCCCTTTTAATAGCACACCGTTGTGTATTCACACCCTGCCGCCCCACTCCGAAATTCAAAACTTTGGGTGGGGTACCGTGAATAAACCATTATAAAAGATCTGGAGCCCCAAAACACAGGACCGTAGAATAATAAGATGTTTTGGGTTGGAAGGGATCTTAAAAGATTTTGATGATCCTCTGCCGTGGGCAGGGACACCTTCCACTAGACCAGGTTGCTCAGAGCCCCATCCAACCTGGCCTTGAACATTTCGAAGGATGGGGCATCCACAGCTTCTCAGGGCAACCTGTGCCAGTGTGTCACCAGCCTGACAGTAAAGAATTGTTTCCTAACGTCTAATTTAAAACTACAAGCCCTTGTATAGTCCCTCTCCATTTTCTTGTAGCTCCCTTCAGCTACTGGAAGGCTGCAATTAGGTCACCCTGAAGCCTTCTCTTCTGCAGGCTGAACAAACCCAATTCTCTCAGCACTTTTTCACAGGAGAGAATCCCCTCCCTTGGCCTGCTGACTATGCTGCTTTTGATACAGCCCAAGACACAATTGGCTTTCTGGGCTCCAAGTGCACATTGCTGGGTCATGTCCAGCTTCTCATCCACCAGCACCCACAAGTCCTTCTCAGCAGGGCTGCTCTCATTCTGTTCATCCCCCAGCCTGTATTGATATCAGGAGTTGCCCCTAACCCATGGTCTTGTTGAACCTTATGAGAGTCCCATGGACCCACTTCTTGAGCTTGTCCAGATCCCTCTGGATGGCATCCTGTCCCCCAGGTGTGGATTTAGGCCAGTTTTCAGCTTAGGTTCCTCAACATGCTTCCAGGATTGTTCACCTTTGGCAGGACAGATGGAAAAACATCTCCTTTTGAAGTCTTGGGTCAGGACCTGCTGCCAGTCGGGATTTCAGTTCATGCCGTGTGATGCCAGGGCACGTGCAGCCAGGTCTGCACAGGCAAAGGGCCTTGAGGTTACCTGGCATTGCACAGAGAACCTTGCCAGGGCTGAAATGGTGGCCTTAAATACTGAAGTGGCAGAGAGGTACCGAAACTACCTTTACACATGTGCCCTTCAAATACTAGCCACCTGTGAAATAAAGTGTTTCAAGGCCTGGCAGATATGAATAAGTATTATACCAGGGAGCCAGGTGCAGCAGCTATTAAAAACATTCTGCAGTGACTGTGCTGGCTAACGGAAAAACAACCAAAAAAGCCACTTCCTCATCCATCGTGCCAGCCCTGTAGTGCTGGGCTCACAGACAGCTCCTTTACCATTGATGTTATTTGCCTTTTAAATTTCAGCAACCCAAACTGCCGAGCGAGGATCGTGACTGTGCTGTACGAGGTTGTGTGCCACTGTCAGCATAACTTATTTCCAGGCTGCATGGAGGCAGGGCTCACTGTGTTGTCTGACAAACTGGCTTCGTCCTGAAAGCTGGAGGTGATCCAGGTACGTCCAGAAATGCCACCTATACATATGTTACCTCTGCCTGGAAATTCCTTTATATCCAAATCAGTTTCTATCACCAGCAGTTAGCAACTCTAGGGCTTGGCTACCTCCTACTAAATCATGATGATGATGATGATGATGAAGTTTGATTTTCTGAAGGTGATTCTCATGGGCATTGGTTGATGCTGTCTTTGGCACTGTGCATTTTACAACATGTCATGGTGCTCAGTGGTGGCATTCACCCAGTACAAGCAACTAGTTCAACTCATTTGTGCCTGATTCCAATTCTCCCGCCTTTTCCATCAGGCAAATGGCAGGGAGAAGTGGTATGGGTTTCAAAAGGCTTTTCTATCTTGCACATTTGAGTAGTGTCTCCTCTTACTCCAGCCTCAGGAGTTTGTCATCAGGGTTTCCACTAAAGCAAGAAAATAAAACTCAGTACTGAGCAGGTAGGTAAGCTTTTAGGAGCAAAATGATTTGGAGGAACCATTTGACAAATCAAGCTGCAGTGAAGATGCCTTGCCTCCAAATCAAATATTAATCTAATATTTACATAACAGATGAGTCGAAAGTTGTTGGAATCTGCACTGTGCTAATCCCAAATTCAAAGAAGTGGCAGCTGAATGTGTAAATGGAAGAGAAGACAGATTTCCCCTGCAGAGGTGGATGCCAAGGCACAGGTGGATTTGCAGACTGGCTGGTGTCAGCACAGTGCAGTTCAGAGATCATCTGAGGTTATCCTCTGAGGCTATCCTCTGAGGAGGGAGTTCCCGGGCTAGACTCACTGTCAACATATGAAAAGGGCTTTCATGCAAACAGCAGGTCAGTCTGAAAATGGGACAGGGTTTTGCCTGTCAGAACACGCTCAGATTAGTACCAACTTGAAATTCCACCCACTTAAAAGGCAAGTTACCCCCAAAATGGGAATAAAGCACCTTGTACGTACATCAGAAGTTAAGCTGGGTGAGGCCTATAGGAGGAAAAACGAGGGACCATGAGGACCCTTTCACTTTATCACTTGGATTTAGCTCCTTCCTGGGACCTGATAACCATCGCAAAGCTGGTGAGCTTCTTTGCAAAGCATTTCTGCTGCTGTTAGCACCTCTAATGTGCTTGTCTCACACAAACTTATAGAAACACATATAAGCATCTGAAGTTTAAGAACACTGACAAGACTTAGACCGCTTTTTCCCATGAGGAGGGGATAACAAACTATACATGTGATAGATTCAAGTCACATTGTTTGACTGACTTCGAGGACACAGTCAAAACAGCGATGATAAATGTAGAGAAATATGGGCTGTGAAGCTGCAAAGCTGAAAGAGTAATATTAGAAAAGCTGAGAAAAGAACGATGAAACTGGAGAAAGGGGATCATATGCTCAGGTCCGTCTGTATTTGCGACTCAACAAAGCAGTCAGGAACACCAGTGTTGGGGGAAAAATAATATGAAAAAGAGACATGAATTCCATAACCTGGGAGAGAAAGCAAGTTCAAGATAAGAAAACAATGAAAATAAAAGGGCTTAAATTCAACACTCCAGAATATGTCAGATTTTAAAAGCATTGTGTTAACAGGAATTAGCATGAATTTAGAAAGTGCTGCAGCAGATTATTTTATATTTTTACAGTGCTTTGAACTTGAAAAGACTAAGTAATTGGTAGATATTAGTATTATTAACAAGCTATCCTGAATTCCTGGCAAGCAAGGCAGGCAAAGCATCTTTTTTGAGGTGCTAATGACACCATTAAGCTCCTGCTTACTGAAGAACTGACAGATTGCTGTCTGCTATTGTTTTGAAGGCTGATTTGTGAGATTTTCTGGAAGAATGGTAGCAGAAATTTGAAAAGAATCTATTTATATACAGAATTGCTTTTACATGCAACATTAGAGCTGTTAAATTTTACTTGTTTTTACTTAAGCTACAGTTCTGTTGCTATGCCAGTGATAGAGGAGCATACCAGATGGTATGTAGGACTTCTGAGATCATTGTGGAGGTATATAGAGTAGTGATATATAATAATGGCTCAACACAGAGAGAAGCAAAAGAAAACAACATCAGTTTGAAATTACTCATTTAGATATTGATGCAAACTGAATTTGCATTATCTTTAGTAGAAGTAAATTCAATGTTAAGAGTTTGATAATAGGAGGTGAAATATGTCAGGATAAGAAAAGCCACATTTTATGTGAAGTAGTGACAAAGTAGTAAAATTGTTGTTTATTAGTAAACAATGAGCCAAAGCAAAATGTGTCTGCAGCCATTCCTAACAAGTCTCTATTGTTTCAACTATTGTTCTTTTGCCTTTGATTCATGCCCTTTTTTTGCCCTGTCACTTCAAGAAATATTCGCGGGGGTGCTGCTTTGCATTAGGGGAAGGTCTCCATTGACTACAACAAGAGAACACACTGAAGTTTTACTGTGGTATAAAAGCAACAGAATCTGTGACATATATAGGTCCTTACAGCACATCTGTTGGGCCTTGCACGCAGATACTGTACAGCATAGGGGGAAGGTGTTTCTGCTTTGTTATAAATTCTGAGCAACAAGACAAGTTGTCAAATGCAGATGGGTTTTTACTCTATAATAATAATTATTATTATTAATAAATAATCATCTATTTAAGTGTTGAAACTAGTTCAGCTGCAGCCGAAAAAGCAATGAGAGTTGTACATAGTACATGACGTTGCTGTAGCCACCTCACCATACCTAAATATATAAATATCCAAACTATTTTGTTGTGTGAGCTGCACCGTGATTGCAGAGTAAAACCTCAGGTCGGAACTGTCCCAGAGCTGCCTCTTTTCTCCTTTCCCCAAGGGGGTATTCCTTTTTATTGTCCATTGAATTGTCAGCTTCTTCTATTCAGCAGACAATAAAGAAGAACACCCTTTGGGGAAGAACAAGAGGATGAGACTGGTTTTGTAGTATGACTGATTTTGTATTGGTATTACTTTACGTGAGTCTCATTTTTTTGTGTGTATGAGGATACTTTAAAAGTGTCTACTGCTGTTCATGTTTTCTAGGAAAGTGTTATCCCAGTATCTTTTGGGTTTTTATCTGAGGTTATTTGAAATAGTTTATTTCAAGTGCTATTATTTCAAGATTAATCTTATGGAAAATACATATTCTTTTGTCTTACTTGTAAAAAAATCCACAGTTTACTTTTCTCTACATCTCTGAAGTAGTTAGTTGCTGGTTTTGTGTTTCTGTGTATTTGATTAAGAAACAAGAGAAACTTGAGTGTAGAATTTCAGACACTGTGCTCGTTACTCATTTCATTAATTTGGGTAAATACTCTCTCAGAAATGACGTTAAACATATTCAAAAATCTGACTAGCTCTCAAATGGCTGTGGCTTTTTAGAAACTATGCATCCATGATACTTCTGCTGGGGTTTTTAGTATTTTGAGGTTAATCGTTTTCCAGCATGATGCTCCAGAAGAAATAAGTAATATGATTCAGTACTTAATCATAGATTATATGGATTCTGCACCAGTAAAGATGGTGGTTATTTCTCTAGAGATTGAAATGGCAGCATGCTCAAGCCTGATATGCACAACTTGCCACCCTTCCAAGCTGCACTGCCCTCCTCCTGCAAAAGCTCACGTGCATTTTAAGCAGTCCTGATCCTTTGTATGCCATTGTTTAACTTTGTAATTGCTCAGTGAGAAGGTAAACAACTCTATTTGGTAACAGTAGAGTTAATGAAGCTTGGTTTCCTATTAATTGTGGTCTTTGCCGTTCAGCTCCTCCTTTCTCTCCCTGTTTAAGTCCTTAATGACACCCTCACCCAGCAAAGAAAGCTGCCTCCCCATAGCATGTGCTGTATTCTCTGAGCAACCGATTGTGGAACAGAAAAGTTTTGCCTTGCTGTCTCTGAGTGTCAGTTCCAAGGAATTTCTGCTTATTGTAAGGACTTCTGCTTGTCTTTCAAATTTGGTTGAAATGTGAGTGTTCATTTCAGAAGTTTTTGTGGGGATCAAGAGGAGAATTTGCCTGATTGGAAGCTTGTCCTTCTTAGGAAACTGGGCTAAATGTTGCAGCAGCCAAACAGAAGTAAATGTAACAGTAGTAAAAAAAAAATCCAACATGGTAGTAGATTACAGTCATTTGAAGATGCCATGTTGACTCTTGGGGAAAATCCCGAAGGGCACTTCTGGACTGTTTAGGTGCTGAGAATTTGCCTTAGCACTTAGTGCCTTGCAGGATCATGGTAATGTACTGATGTTAGGAGTGCAAACTCAAGTATTTGCATTGTCGAGCTCACCTGGGCATCACCTCTGGCCTTTGTATGCAAGGTCTTGGAAGGGACACAGAGCAAGCTCATGCCTACACCAGCAGAGTTATTCTTTCACCAGGTGTCACCTACTAATGCTCCTGCATACTTAGATAGGCTTTCCTCATTGTTTCTGTATCTTGCTCTTCATATGTAATATGATTGTTATGAGCTTTCCTACACACAGCAGGAATCACTCCTGACACATGCTAAATGTACTGATCGACAGGAATAATGCCCAATCTATTGCTGATTGCACAAAGAGTAGAAATCCACTAGTTATTTCCAAGAAATACTTTCTATTTATGAAATAAAATTTTGGAAGCATATATTTTATCAGAATATTGAAACATTTATAAATCGTTTCCTTAGAAAAATGTGAATCTTACTTATAAAGTGCTTTATATTTCCTCAGAGTCCATTCATGACCTTGAAATAATTGAACTATGTGCAGTACCAGCACTGGTGTTATTACTTAAGTAAAGGATTCAGTCCGGGGGAAGCAAAAAAAACCCCAAAACTTTACTGCTTTCCATACCTGTTGGAGTCGCAATTTTATTGTGAGTGGCAGCTACAAAGATTGGTACCACTTCCATTTAATATACCTCTTAAAGGTGTGGACCTTATGATATTACAGTTGACATTTACTCTTGTTGTTCCAAGTAATGAAAGCAGGCTAGTCCAAACTAGCCTTGTAGGTTGCCTGGTGGAAAGCTTAGTTTCGTGAAACACATTTAGATCTATGGTTTATACCAGAGGACTTTCTTCTGCCCAGATCTGTTCCTTACAACACTCGCTGAATTGTAGATAAATCTGCCTAAGGCTGGAACACCAGTTTTGTTGAAACAATCAGGGTGTTTCACATTTCATTCTGCTCCCACGGCAGATCATTCATGCAGAGTTCCCCACAGGACTGCAGACTATCTTTAGATTATTTAAAACATTCATGATAGTGCATAGTCAGGGATGATCATCTACTGCCCAATTTGTCTTCCCTCAATACCCCTGATTTAGTGGCATCGTACATCTTCTGAGCACTTAGAATCTACATTGGGTCAGAAAATGCTAGAAAGGGGAGCAGTAGTTGCTGTTTCTTTAATACTTAAGGAGTTACATACATTTGAAAAAATGCAGCTTCCTCAAAATCACTTTTACCTGAACTCCTAAATATATGAAAGAAGGGACATAAGTATTTATTCCTATAAGTAGTTGCTGGTGTTATTAACTAATGAAATACACGGTATAGTAGTTAGCTTTGCCATTCATTTATAACAGCACAGTTCAGGAAGCACACTGGATTACATTTTGAAGATTATTCTAATGTTAAGATATTATTTTGCATGTTTTATATCATAGACCTTTGCATTAAAAAACCTGCTGTAATAACTGGGGATGTTTCTTTTAATACAAAACCTGCTATAATGGTTTCTAAACTCTTGGCTTGCTAGAAACTTGACGTATCTTAAACCCTCCCTCCAGGCATGTGCTTAGGGTTTGATTCCACCAGATGACCTCAGGATGCTACTGCGGTGAGCTTAAGTTGCTCTTTGTAAAGTCGAGAATGGAGCCAGAATGAGACCCTTACAAAGGCTTTTTGAAGACACTTTTCTACATACCACCTTCATTTGCTAAGTTACATTGTAAAAAATGCCCAGAGTTTATTAGTCAGATACAGGTCTTCAGCAAGGCAGTTTCAATTGTTTATAAATACCTTTTAATTTCCATTTATACCATATTCAGAGTGTGTCATTACAAGGAGAACTACTAGTATGGTAAGGCTATCAACAACAGCTCAAGGTCAATAGCTGATGACTGAAGAAATAACCATAACAAGCTTTAGAAACAATCTAGTCAGTGTAAGAACTGGGTTTCAAAGGTGATAGCAATCCTGTAGACATCAGTTTGCCAGTCCTCAGGACTTTGAAGGGATCTCAGGGTCAGAAGTGTATGAACATGTATCATTCTCAAGGATCTTGGATTGGCCACCTGCAGCTGAGACCTCCCGTATTTTTTGCAAATCACAGATAAATCAATTTTTTGTTTCAGGGAACCATTTTGCAAGGAGCATAACCTTGAAAGTGCATGCCAAAAGGTATTTTTGTCCTTCTGAGCCAATTGAAACAGGTACATTACCAGTGTGTGCTTGCATGCTTACTTTTTGGCTTACTGCTATCGGGCTACACTGCTGTAATGTAACTCCTATACCGCTGCATTTTTGACATTGTGTAGTACATAAACTGACAGGGTAAAAATGAACAGGAAATTAAAGTTCTTTGGCCCAGATTTCATATAACTGTCCCTGTAACTCATCAAAGCAATATCACAGGGACTTGCATAAATAAATACACATGAGCAGATACATATTTGCACCAAACATTTTTACACTTTTTTTTTCAAATTGTATTTATAAAACCTGATCCACCTACTTTTTCCCCAGCTACTTTTGAGAGAGAGAAGGATGACAATTTTCCGTCCTATCTGTGTAGTGAGATTTTGTGTTTACTCTAAGGTGAAAGATAATTTTCAGGGCTGTGACACAACCAGCTGAAGCTTGAAACACTTTCAATGAGAGAGATTTATTATGCCAATAAAATGCCAAGAAGTTATAATCACTTAATGCACACCCACATGCTCGCCCCACACACACACCTAGGGAGAAACAACCAGCATGGATTTGTGAAAATCCAATGTCAAACCAATTTAACTTGTTTTGAAGCAGAGCAGGAAGGTTTATGAACATGGAGAAAACAGCAAACGTTGTATATATTGACTTCAGTAAGGCTTTCTGCAGTGTGTCCTTATGACATATCAATAACTTGGGGTATCCTATGGCAGAAACACAATCCTGATTAAACACCAGAACTGATTAATGGCCCAATAGTGAGTGGTCAGCATAGAAGAATATATCATATGGGATGTGTTCCCATGGCTTTTGTCCAATCCTTGTATTTACCATCCAGGTCAGGGGATGCAAACTGCACGTGCCCAGCTTGAAGATGACACCAAACAAAGACAGGACTGTAAGCATGCTGGAGGTCCTGCATTGAAATTAAGATTAAAATTCAAAGTGATCTTGCAAGTTGAAGAACATGTTTGAAAGAAATTACATGTTATGCAACAGCAAAAATCACCATTCCACACAGGACAGACAGAAAATAGCCTACATAAACATTCTTCTGCAGAAGCAGAACAGGACATGCCACTATGAAGACTGGAAATGCCATGTATGTTTGTATTAAAACAGTACATCCCAAAGACTGCTCTTTTCTTTGAGTAGAACTGTTATATCCAGTGCTCACTAAGGCAAGGAAACTGTGTCCAGTTTGGGACACAGTTTGAAACATACAGTTTGTTTTATTGTGGTTGGAGATAGTTCAGAGAAGACCTCTGTTTATTCTCATTTCTCTAGGTCATGGCCTTTAAGGGAAGGTTAAATAAATGGGACGTGTTGAATATAAAGAATACCAAGGAGAACATGTCTTCCAGTACACGTAAAGATACAGCAAGGAGGTAGAGAAACAGCTGTCCCCTATTTTCATGAAAAGCAGAACAAGTACTGATTGCGTTAGGCTTAAGAAATTCTTTCAAACCATAGAGGTAATTAAACATGAGAGCATAACATCTGGTGAGGTTATGAATTCGTCATCATTAGAAACTTTTAAGAACCAGTTAGGCAAACATCTGTCAAAGCTGACATAGTTATAGTTGATCCTGCCTTTAGGCAGAGAAAGAACTGGATGATCCTCTGCAGCCTCTTCCAACTACATTTTAAAAATTACTATTTCTCTCTCTTTCTCTCTTTCCTTAGTATGCTTTTCGTGGTTCCTTAATCTGTCTTCTTGTGTCCAATTTTGATAAGAACAACAGGGGACAACTCAGAAAGTCATGCAGACCTCATAGAAGCTGTCCTTAATTTGGCCTTTTAATTAATTTTTACCATGTAAGACAAAAATATCACATGAACAAGCCCATGCAGTTGATTTTAATACATTGCAGTTTTCTTTGGTCAACATGTACATATGTCAAATGAGAAAAAATGATGTTTGAGCCTATTTACAGTGTGGGTTGTAATTAGACTACTAGGGATGTAACAAACTCCCAAATTCCCAGATCCTGCTTTTAAGGTAAGAACAAAAAGAGGGAAGAGGTAAATGTTGAATAAGGGACTGGTTCTCAAGCTATGAAGAGCCAAACTACAGCTTCCGGAGATAGGTATTGTTGCCTCTGGGTACCTGCTGCTTCTTCCTACCATGGTCTTTGCCTCTGTAGTGCAGGGATGAAAGGAAAAACAGGCCATGGCTGTGCAGTCAGAGTTCACAGCCCCTCACCATAACTGCAGCTGTTGCTGAGGTCAGATATTTACTGGTCTGCTCAGGGCTGGGGCTGGCAGGAGTTCTCTTATCCCAGCTGCCAACCCCACTTCAATGATGAACTTCAAAAGACGGACAGACAGACAACCATGGCCAGCATGGAAACAAGCAATTTTCCTTCTCCTCCTGCAATCCTAGCAAAGCCAAGAGCTGTAGCATGGAGATCATCCAGCTAATGCATCTCTGGCCCCAGAGGTGGGAAATCAAGCTGACATAACAGTCCATACAGCAGGTATCAACTGAGGGCCATGGCCCCATATAAACACAGTGTTGTCCCTGGTTTGTTCCTGGATCCTAAAAAAGGTCCTTTTTTCACTGTCAGAATCAGCACAGAAGGAGCTTGGCACCACACAAAATTAATCTCCAGAGCTTTTCCAATTTCTAACTCTTTATATTCACCTCTTTTTGAAGGGCAGAGCAAAGGGGATGGTCAATAAGGGTTTCTGAAGACATGCTTCACATTTTAAGGCTTTGTTGAGATTTTCAATTAAAACAGAATAAACCTTTTGGGATGAAAACAAATGTACCTCTTAATTGGCATGACACATTGAAGAAAAATCAACACATTATGTTGCCTACATAGCATAAGCTATTTGCTAAGTATTCCCTAGCAAGTACTGTGATGCCTTATTTTCTGACTTTCTGATATGCTGACAGCTCAGTTTTCAAATACTCATGAAGTCATTACCATTTTTATCATTTCTGGCTTAGCTTCACCCAAAAAAAATAATTTTCAAGTACATTCTCTCCTTTAAAAAGATCAAGAATAATAAAATACATATTCTTAGGCCTTTCTCTTTTCTATGGCTACTTGGTTAAAGAATCTAATTATGACAGAATTTTTTACCGGAGCGAGGCAGGCTCCATCAGCTGCATGTCAAGAATTTAATTACTGCTCCATTAATGTCTTGAGTGCCACTCTGGAGAAATCTCTTGCCATTGCTATCGATAGCAAAGAACAAGTTCTGTGCTAAGTGCTGGCCCACTAACAATTTTAATTTTCTGCAGAAGTCTGGTCGTCAGGCTCCAAAGGAGGGAAACGAGGAACAGGGATGCTGCTGATGTAGGAACCGAAGGAAGCTCATTCTCCTGGCCACCAGGGGGAGAAAACTGCCACTGGCATTTGTGAAGCACTCAAAATCAACTTAAAGACGCACCTATTTTCTTGCTAAGGTTTTTGAGGCTTAGGTCCATCAACTGTCTTATTGAATTAGTTATGAGAAAACTATTCATTTTAGTTTTTTTCTAAAGTACTGTAAACCCCCTAATGTAATACAATTTTATTAATTAAAAAATAAAATTTAATTATTACATGGATCATATTCTCTCCTTCTCTAAATGTTGCATATTACCTTATTTTAAAATTAATCCTATTATTTTTAATAGGACTGAGTGCAAAGTAAGATATAACTTAACATGAGTAAGTACAGAAAAATACTGCTTTAAGTGAAAGGAACAAATCTATTCAAAGTAGCTATGCAACATGACATACTTGCTTCTTGGCCTCAAATAAACTCTGAATAAGAATAGGAAAGGAACATAATGCATATAAACGTTGACTTGATACTCAAAGAGAGTGATGTGAGTTCAAATTACTTTCTAAATGGAAGGAAAGAAGAAATGTAGGGGGGGTCACATCTTGTTGGAACAACTAATAAAAATATATTTGAGATTAAATGACAATAATGTGAGTCCTTCCTGTAGTACCTTTTACAGATATTGTATCTCGTATCTCTCTTTCTGAGCAGGTTTTCAGCATGATTTCATGGAAAACATCTTTTTTTCCACATGTTTACATTCATTGTGGGGAAAATAACCCACAGAAAATAGGATGTATGGCACAACAGCAAGTTCCATGATGGAACTATTTATAATAGAGCTCAACTTTTTAAGTAGCAGCTGGTCAGATTTAAGAGTTGGGATCAATTTTTTCCCATAATTAGGACTAGAGCTGACTACGCCTTGCGGTCAGGCAGACGAACTTAAGAGTTAGGACCAGTTTTGGGGTGGTGTGTAGGTAGCCTCCAGCTCTACTAACCAAAAAGGCAGAAATGATGCAACAGCTAACTGTCCACTAGATGCCAGGCTTCCTTTGCGGAGCAGAGCAGTCGCTCCGGTTTTCTACACGCTTTATACCGATGGCCCCTGCGATCCCCTTCTCGCTGATACTGTGGACAGAAGCTTTAGTGTTTAGCACCAAAACCTGATCCCGTTCAGGCTACCTCCGGATTTATCTCTGTTATTTCCCACAAATCTCCAAGAGAGGCAAAATGCTTTTCAGGAGGACTGAAAATAGAAATTGTCTGTAAGAAGAATTGGGCATTTTCCATATCCCTCTTTTCTGTACAAGCAGAAAGCTCCCAGTGAAGAGAATGGGATGAATTTTGTGATTGACATACTCAATCTGCAAACAAACCTAGTTGAACAATGGCAAGGAAGATTGCTGACTCTGCCTCCTGTGCTCCTGCTGCCGTCATCAACAGGTAGGTGACCTCCAACCTCTGGCTGTCATCAAATAGGCCAACCAGCAGCTCAAAATATTGACTTTAAGCTACATTGGGGCAATATTTGCTTTCTGACTATCTTACTTCTGTATTTGAAAGAGGCTGCCAGAGTGCAAGCATCCCTCTGCATGGGGGGAAAGGGAGATGGTGGGCAAATAGCCCTACCACCTCGAGCAGTACCTGGGGCGGGGCACACTCCATCTCTTGTGGTGGACCAGCCAGAGCACCAGCATGGGGCAGACTATGCTTCAGCAGGATTGCACACCTCTCCAGGAGGTCAGCAGCTGTTGACAGTGCTACCCCTGCATGCTGGCACAAATTCAGGCTTTTCTGTTGGGATTTGGGTTACCTCTAAAAAAATGGCATGGCTATTGGAAGACACACTGGCTCCAGTTTCTGAAGAGACCAAAGTTGTGTGGTGCTTGTGGTCTTACTAAATGGAGGGTCTGGTGCTCTGACTCCCTTATCATTAGAATCATAGAATGATTTAGGTTGGAAAAGACTACCAAGATCATTAAGTCCAACCATTAACCCAGCACTGCCATGTCCATCACTAAACCATGTCCACATAGCTTTTAGATACCTCCGGGGTGGTGACTCAAGCACTTCCCTTTGCAGCCTGTTCCAATACTTGACAGTCCTTTCCATTAGGAATTTCTCGCTAATATCCAATCTTAGCGTCTCCTGGTACAACTTGAGGCCATTTCCTCTTATCCTATTGCTTGTCACTTGGAATGAGAGACCAACATCCACCTCGCTACAACCTCCTTTGAGGTAGTTGTAGAGAGCAATAAGGTCCCCCCTGAGCATCCTTTTCTCCAGGTTAAACAACTCCAGCTACCTCAGTTGCTCTTCATAGGACTTACTCCAGACCCTTCGCCAGCTTTGTTGCCCTTCTCTGGACATGCTCCAGCACCTCAATGTCTTTCTTGTATTGAGGAGCCCAAAACTGAACACAGGATTTGAGGTGTGGCCTCACCAGTGCTGAATACAGGGGGATGATTCCTTCCTTAATCCTCCTGGCCACACTATTTGTCATAAGTTAGTTCAGCTCAGTTGTCTGCTGTGAGCAGGCACCTTAATTTCAAGGAACTGCTTGCAGGAGAAAATATCTGATTTGAGTAAGGGCCTCTGGCAACTTAGAAGCTACAATAGTTCAATTACCTATTTCTAACTTACAACATTAACTGTGCAAAAATTACTACCTATATTATTTAGAAAGCCCTTTCTTGAATTCAAAATAGGATAATGGATATGAAATCATTCTGGAAACCATAGCAGACTAATTAATTTGAGAAAAATCACTAGTGGAAAATAATAACAAATGTTTGCTTCTGTCTAGCATAACATAATTGCTACTAACACAGTTTCATTAAAAAAAGAGACATTTCTTTTCTTCATTCATTAAAGTCAACTTTTGTGAATGGACCAGTTTACAAGTATTCAGTATTCATATCCATGTTTCTTCTCCCCACTCCCAGATTTTGCCTCTGACTCTGCAGGCCCTGTGTAGCTTTATGGCATGATTTGCAGAAAGCATCCTGCCTACCTCCTACAGACTCTGAACAGAGATCCAGGCACTCAAAGCTTTTGAGCAAATCCCTGAGTGTAGCAGTTCTCTGCTCACCTACCAGCTCTTCACGATAATCCTGCCATACACTACTTGCTGGAAACAATTAGGGGGGATAGAATAGGGCGCTCTGCCACTTTGCCTGTCATCGGCTTCCCTGTTGAGATCAAGTTGCATAAATGTTAATGGTCGGGCCTGTCTCATGCTCGGCATTGTCGCATCCCTGAGCCCAGCAAAACTTTGGTTTTGAGTCAGAGCAATCGACACACATGAAAGGATTGCTGCGGTGTTACAGTTTGTCAGCACCATAAGCTGGAGATTTATTTTAGAACTCAATTTTCCTTCTGAGTAAAAAGGAAAAATGATGAAATCGGTTACTTGTATCACATACAGGAGAAAATGTTATTCTCTAAACACGTTAGAGGAACCAGGCATTTTACACTGGGCAGATCCTCGTAGATAGAGACATTTCTTTATTCATGTAACTCAGTGAGTGGTAAATGAGGCATGCTCACAGAAGTTATTTGGGATGGAAATGAGTCTAATTAGTCTATCCAAGTTAGGAATAGCACTGTGAGGCAAGTCTGGGGAAGATGGGAGTTAGCAACAGAAACAGCAGTGGAGAAACAGAGTTATGTGCTTTCCAAAGTTAAGCAGGATATTTATTTGAGATTTCACCTGACAGAATAAACAACAGATAAGGGACAGTTCAAGCAGGCAAACATTTCTAGGAAACTAGTTTAAAAACATTCTTATTTTAATTGCAGTGCCTATAAGTACCCTACTACATATTCCTACCTTAGTTTTCAACTTCATAGTTTGTTGTACAGTAAACAGTAAAAAACTGCTCAGTTACTTCAGAGCTTTCTCAATAGAGCAGGGGCAAATGTGCTCCAAACTTAAACATACTAATAAAAGTTGGTGTCTTCTAGGGGTTAGCAAGGGCATAACAGTGATTTTAAAATTAGCTGCTAGAATATGTACATGTATTTTATGTACTGACAAATCTTTTAATCTGCAAGAATCACATCTAGTAATGAATCGCATTCTTGGAGTGAATAATTCAGCCCTTGACGCCAACCTCTGAGGGAGAATATTGTGGTCATGGTGTCTGAACAGTGCGGTAGCTATGGCTACCTATATAATTCTTAGCAATGGAAAAAAAAGTGACAATGACATTAAATTTAATCAGGTTCCCCTTTTCTGTGGTTCCCACTGGGATGAGCCACTAGTGTCTTGCCTTAAATATTCAAAGCCTTCAAAGTTTGCATGTGTTCATATACTGGGACAATATCCTGCTAATACAGAACAATGGATCTGTCATGTATTTCTCCTGTGGGTAGCCGTAAGTCTGAATTTAGTTAGTATAGGGTATTATGATTGCTGCTTCTTTAGTGATTGTCTTTACATTAGTCTTCACTTAGAAGGAAGAAGAGCAGTAATGAAATGTAGCAAAAATACAATGAACTTGGCTATTTTGGTTTGGAAATATGGAGCAAAGGACTGTGTCTTCTTAAAAAGATTCAGCTTTATTTCCAGTCACACTTCATCTGATATGAATGAGCTGGTACTACATATCACATGGCTGAATACATTTGGGAAACATGACCTAACATATATTTAGGAAAGAGAGCTTAGAATCAAACTGGAGTAGTTAAATGCACAAATTCTTTGAATTCTCATTTGGTAAAATTCATTAATTCTTTTTGTGTTTTGTTGACAGAATTGTGAAAATGTGACTTTTATTAATGCTGACTAGTGCAGGAACTTACATTTGGATTTCTTAATCTACAGTAAGAGTCAGCAGTGAAAAGGTTGAAACTGACTTAAATATTTGTGAGTTTTGATTTGAAGTAGATATTTTAAAACACAGTCTTGAAAACGATTTGTTTTGTTTATTTTAAAGTGGGAAAGGAAAATAAAGGGGTATTTGTTGTTGTTAATTTGGAGACAAAAGTTTCACCGAAAGAAAATATGCCACAGTGAAAAGCTGGTGCCTGTAACTCTTTAAGTTAAACAGATTTGATGGAAAATTTTTAGCTCAGTTTATATTTCTTTGAAGAGTCCCTGTGATTAGAAAATTACCAGATCTGTGATGATTTTACATTCTTTCTCTGACTTTTTGGTAGCTTAATGGTGTTTATCTCTGTTTGCATGGCATGGGAAACCCAGTCCCACTCTTAATACTTTCTCAGAGGATCAGAGCCACGATTTTGAAAGCATACCTAGTAAGGTGTGCCTTCTCTCACACACATACTCATAAATGAATACTAGTAAGTAAGTGAGCACACAAGCACCTGCCATTATGATTATGGCATCTGTCGTTATTTGCACATGCAAACCAAAATACTAGAGAAGAGGTGGGTACCTCTGCACCCCACAGTCTTACAAACTATATTTCATTAAATAATGTGCAAATAGGACACCTATTTGTCACATTGGAACTCAAACTAAAGAAAATGCCACTCTCTTTTCCAATACACTACATCATAAATGAAACAGGATGTCATCCACCTTTATTTATTTTTCCGGGTTATTGTACAGTTGTATATTTTACTCATAAA